TTCGCTAGGATTCGCCTGAAGTACCATTGGCCTAAGCATCAGTGCAGCTTGCGTGAAAACTTGTCGTCAATGTCAACAGCACAAAACTGCACCCGTAAAACCAGCTGGCCTTCTCCAGCCAATAGACCCTCCAGATGCCCCATTCCAACAAGTCGGCAGGGATCTCCTAGAGCCTTTTCAGACATTGTCTGCAGGCAAGAAGTGGATAGTTGTAAGAATGGACTATCTCGCTCGATACGCTGCGACTGATTCTCTGTACAGTGCAATAGCTCTTGTGATGTGATTGACTTGAGTTGTGTTTAGAGCATATTTTTGGAGCAGCAAAAATGTGTTTTGGGGTGGGAAAAACGACCTTTGGTGTAACCAAAAGTGCACTTTGGAGCAGCTTAAGGCTCACTGCCAAATGGGACGGTGTCAAGCACAACAGCGAACTAAGGAGGAATCCTTTTGAATTAAGAAGTTCTATGCAATAATGGATGTTTGGAGATGTTTGTATAACATCACAGAATATTAACCCAAACTAATTGTAAACCTTCTAGTGCATTTCAATATGGGATGCAACAAACCACAAATTGGTGCTGCATTCTGGCCGCCAAAATAACGTAGGAGAGCAGTTATTAGTGATGAACAAGTAAATCAATATGGGATTTTTTATTGAGGACTAGCAACACTGCTTCATTTTTTTAACTGCAAAATAGTTGTCTAGTTGGTTGTCTTCTTGTCTGACATCTCGTCAAGGGCTGCAGAAAGTGGCATTTTTATTTCACCAAGCAAGGACTGGCACTACAGATGCGCTCGAGTCTCGATACAGAACGTGGTGTGAGCACAGCGGTCATCCGAAAAGCTTCAGGTTTTAGGGGTTGTAGAAATGCTAATATACGAGGATTCCAATGTCTCAGGACATTCATAGACACTCGCAGCGATACCAAGCACGACTCCAAGCACGTCTAAATCGCATCACAAAAGCTTATTGACAGCACTCAATATTACCGTGAGTGTGTCATTCTCACCCGCAAAGTTCGTCTCGCCGTCAGCAAAGTTAAGGCTAAAGGCGACTCTGGTGACGCGCTGCGCTCGTAGACCGTGTGCCTGCTTGTAGTGATCAAATCGAGCATGCGCTTACAGTTCTGAACTAAAGCGTAATTATATCCTAAGTGATCGTAGAACTGTGAGCACGCCAAGAAATGACGATTTTCGACAGCAATCTACTCGCGACGAACAAGCAGCAGACGACGATCTCCTGGAGTGAGCATCGGGCCAATGGCGAGGCGAGCTGGGGCAACACGGCGGCCTTAAAAACAACCTTCAATCATCTGCTTTGGGTGCGCTTGTTTTTGAAAGGAGGAAACAGCTGAGGCAGAAAATTTGAGCACAGAGAAATACTCTTTCCGATAAGCCCAAGAAGCCGGCTCCCGGTCGCGCCATCGCAAAGCTGTAATTTCTTGAAAATTGCTGTTTTTTCGCGATTTCAAAGAATATTTTTGCTACCTAGGAGGGTGAAACAAATTTTACGAAGCACATGTGCGCGGTTTTCAGAGTAGATATTTTGGAATTAGATAGAAAAAGGGTTCCAGAAACTGAAAACTTAATTTTCAGAAAATCGATTTTTTTGCCATTTTTGGCGATACGAAAGCCGCGTCCACCCTTAATATTTAAGCTAACTATGAGTCGACCTTTGATAATTTTTAACAAAGAAGTTTTAAGGGGGGACACGGCACTTAGAAGTGAAAAATCGGCCTAAAAATCGAATTTTTTCTCTCATCATTTTCGGTTCCCGATGCCCTTGCGCACCTATCAGCATAGTTTGGCTTTAAAATTCCACTTATTTCTCAAGTTATAACCAACCCATAAAGAGAGCAACTGCGCGCAAGCAGACCTTTAAATTAAAACGTAAATTAGCCATACTTCAACCGTCGACGGCACGTGAACTACATGCATAGAAGCGACGTTTTGCTTTTTGGAGCAGATTCTGGAGCACAGAAAATGATACTTTGGAGTAGGCTTAAGTGTCTTTGGAGCAGAAAAAGATGCGATAGCTTAGGGTTGCTATTAGCATTTTCAAAGCATGTTACTAACGACTCCTGCAGTCTAAAACATCACTTAAGCATCTAATAAATATTTATATTTATTATTAAACATGCTGTATGCTAGTATGCAGCTAGTATACAAGCCGTATAGCAGCATCATTGGTGTAAATCATGGGGGCGGGGAAGGGTAAAAGGAGTCCAGAATTTTCTGTATTCAGGCTGGGGAGGACAGCCCTTGCAAGTGTGCCCCTTGGGAATTTAGCTTGAGCATGTGATATAATTGAGCTAACAGTTAAGTATAGCACAATCAACATTTTAAAAGGCTCTTTACATGTTACTGCGTACCTCTGTTAAATGCCCCTCAGCTGTGTGAAATATGGAAATTGAACAAAGGTGAAAAAAAAAAAGACTGAATAGAACAATGCAGTTGCTCGAGTTCGGACCCCATGCTTTTTTATTTTATTTGAAAGCATGGTTCAATTCCTATACAAATAAAAATACAACCCATATTAAATATACGAACTGGACACAATGGCCAGATATGTGTCACCCGTTGAAACTTTTCTGGATTTACGCCACTGAGTAGCATACTAGGATTATAGTGTATACAGCTTGCTTTTGGTTTCATTTATGCTCACGGGATGGTCCCATGGTTCAACTTCACTATTTCCAGTTTGCCAACACCATTTTGGAGCAGGTTTGGAGCAGTTACTAGCAAATATTGCACTTTGGAGCAGCATAAGGTAGCATTTCTCTTTTGGAGCAGTTTGGAGCAATTCGAGCAGCACTTCCATCACTGAAAGGTCGCGTTTCTAGCCTTTTTTTTTTCTTTTTCAGTAGACAACTATGCGCCCCTCGCAAAAGCAAAGAAAAAAAAAACAGTCAAAATCACACGCAGCACGTGATTCCATTGGTTGCTTGACACACGTGACCAAAATGGCGTTTCCCGATTGGCCAAGAAAACTCGCTGGCAGTGTCTGCCGACATTTTGTAAGGGTATCGCCCTTGCGAAGGTGTCGTCACTTGTATCCCTAACGTGCTTGTGCGTCTCTCTATGCCCAACGGAGCGAAAAATTTCCGATCGCAGCATCATTTTGGCCATTCACAGAAGAAAGGCAATGGCAAAAAGCCCAATGGTGCTGCCACTGTGTCGCGGGAGAGAGCGCCGATGTTGTTTGATAACGCCGTCTTGATAATGCCGTCGTAACTGAAGATGGTTCCTCGTGCGTGCGCGGCGTTGAAGCTGGCCGCCCATGTACTGAAGATATTGTCCGAGATGGCTTCCCCGGATAGTGGACGCTCTGTGGATTATGACCACACTAATGATATCGGTGACGGTGAAGTGCACGTAGACATGGGTCTCCCTGACAGCGCGCGCTATGTTGATTCCGGCCGTGTGCGGGTAGACGCTGATGTGATTGATGCCAGTGAAGTTTGCGACGCGCGCACCCACGAGACAACCACAATGCTTCGTCGGTGCCGGCAACAGTGCGAAAAATTGCGCGCTTTTCAGAGTCAAGTGGTGCGGCAGTGAGGCAAAATGCCAGCAAGGCAAGACTCAGAATTCACACGAAAGCCTCCAATCTGTGATTTCGAGTTTTGTATCAAAGGAGCAGCTTGCTTCTCTTTTTTCTATGCAAGCTGCTATTGCAGAAGCTATGCTGTGCTTCAACACGGGCAACACTAATGCATTTGCTGCGATTCTAGAGCAGCTGGACATCATGATATTCAGAAGCACATCTCTGAGGGCTAGGGAGAAGGACTGTCATCAGAGTGCAACTTCAAATATACAAGCGTCTCCCGAAGTCTGAGAAAGCTGGTAAAAAAAAACACGTAAGGAGCGGATGCATCCTAATTATGTCCCTGGTGCATTTTCATAACATTTTATTAGTATTTTTTCAATAAACGTATTATGAAAGGTTTTTCCTCGTTTTCTCAAAACAGAAATTTTGGCACATTTGCCAAATTGTAGGGAGAATAACTTCTGTTCCATTCAATTTATAAGCATAATTCTTTTTTTGCCAGAAAGATAAATGCATGCAGTATGCAATATGGCTATATTGAAGGCAATATACAGATGAAACATTTTTTTAACTGGGTCACATGCGTGACAGGGAAAGGCGGCTTTTTTTTGTGTAAACATTGATTTCCTCTAGCTCTTGTTGAAATTGGCCCAGCAAATTGATTTATAGCATATTGCACTCCTTAAACATCCTACATTGTTTCTACAATGTCGCCAATGTTTTGGTGCTTCCTGCTTAGATGCTAATTAGGCTCCGAACAGAGAATCCAGGTTTTACATTGATTGTGGAGTATCTTGAAAACTACTTGACCTATCAAAAAAGTAATTACAATTTTAGAATCTGCACATCTAAACACACAAACTGTGAAAATTTCGTTCAGATCTATACATACATAAAAAAGTAGCCCATCAAGTGTAGCCTTCCTCCTTAAATTGGTTCGCTAGTTCACTGCCCTTCTAGCTTTCAGCAGTTTCGCGCTGTTGTCTTCTATCCACCTGCTAATCACGATTAGCTCGGAGCGTCTTGCATGACGGAACGGCTTGCATGAAGCCGTTCCATCCAAAGTACATTTTCGGGGGTCTCGCTAACTTACACTAGCCTGGGGACAATTGTCTGCGCCTCCCCATAAATCAGCATCTGGCTGATCACCCTCACCCCCAGCCGGACATTAATTTTTCTCCCCGTGGCTACATTGGAAGGCCCCAGGCCACCCCTAACCGCGTGTTGTTTCCGGCGACGCGTTGCGCCCGTTTTTTAGATAGTATTTTGTAATTAGACGCAGAAAGGAGCTTAAAAAAGACGCTTAAAAAAATTTTTTTTGGTCCCATAGACATGGCCCAGCTCACTTTTTTTTTTCGGAAGTTCAAATTATATGGGCAATGACTGGGGTGCAAGTTTTACAAACATCAATGAAGAATTTTAAGAACAGCTAGCACATGCTGTGTCCCACCTTCACAATCGGGGTGTCCCGCATCCGCTTCGCAAGCAAACAGTGTCTGATGGTCTTGTGCTGAGAGGTTCATGTCGTAGAATGTGAGCGGCTCACGGCGGGTTGCAGCCAGGAAGCGTGAATACTCGGCTCCTCGCAGCAGCGATAGTGGGTTGCGCCACACCTTGCACTCGCCGGCCGCAGAAGGCGTAGGGCCCCGGTCGAGAGGCCGGTCCCCCTCGGCCTCCTCAGCAGTGCCCCCGAGCCACGGAGAGAGGTGGTTGAGGGACACCTGCTCGATGAACGATGTTCCATACTTGCGGAAGTACCACCACTCGAAGATCTGCGGTAAGCCATGTGAAACCATGCTAAACGGTGCAGTCAGAGGTGGGCAAAGACATGGTAAATATTGCACACATACTTTTGTAATGATGACTACTGCAGTCAGCAATCAATAGACGTAGCTAAAATATAGGGATAACTAGTTTCTCAGTTGCCACAGCATAAACAGCACAGTAGTGGAACTTTCTCACGTCAAGTGAGCAGAAATGTCACATATGACATTACTGGTACGTAACATGCTTCTGGCAATAGTGATGCTGGCAAAACAGAACCGTAAAGGGGCACAGTGTAGGCCATTGGCCCCGAACTAACAGTGGCAAAATAGTAACACTTATGCAACACCAGGCCGAACTTTGAGCTCTGGTTAACGTCACGCTTGAGCATATCGTCAACCTGTTCGGTGATAACTTGTTTCGCGGTGGAAACACGGTATGTTCGTTGTCGTACTGGCGCGTTGGAACCTGTGTCGATGCAGTGAAAAAACTGGGAGTTTGGCCAAGGGCAGGTTGAGCAACGTCAAAGGATTCACGGAACTGGCAGAGCAGCTGAAGAAGCTGAGCGTTCAGATGACGATAGTCCGTCAGCGATCGATGAATCGAAAAGCTCGGAAGGTGGTACATTGGAAGGATTGAGGGCACTGATGGCGTCGTAGTCACCGGAACAATCTGGCGGCATGGTCAAAATTTGTTCCTTATCAATGACTTGCACGTGTCCAAGAGGTTCACCTTGAAATAGTTCGACGGGATACGGAAAGGGATCGATGAGGCAAAGAGCACTGTTTCCTTCAGAAATGGAGAGGGTTGAATAAGGCAGCAGTGATCTTCGACTAAGGAAGAGGCTTGATGGTTCGAAGAATGCAGCTTCGTCCCTAATGCCGTCGCAGAACACTGGGAGCAACGCAGCTGCTGTCGGAGGAATTTCAGTGCCTTCTTTGACGACGAGTTTGTGTACGGCGAGCTGAATGCGGCTGGTTGGTTGGTCGTAAAATGGGAAGAGTTGAAGTTCCGATCTTGCACAATCAATAACGGCATGGTTGCGCAATAAAAAATCCCATCCAAGTATGATGTCGTGTGAGCATGACGAAAGGGCAATAAAGTCAGCAGTGTAGTGGTCATTCGCGATGATCAGTCGGACAGTACAGGGGCTACAGGCTGAACCGGGTCCCCATTCGCTGTTTGCAAGGACATCATATCAAGAGGCATAGTCACTTTTCGGAGCTTGCGGCATAGTTTAGCGTCTATCATGGAAACGGCAGCACAGGTATCTACTAGAGCTTATGCTCGAGTACCTTCTACAAAAACTTTGACAATATTTGACGGCAATGTCCGAAGACTCGAGCATTTCTACAGCGCAGTTCTAGCCTCCTGAACTGCGGCAATTAGTTTCCCTCGTGCGCCGATCTCGTGGAGCCTTACTCTGTGATGATACTTGTTGTTCCCTGGTGTTGTCATCATTCCTTCATTATTAGTGTAACGGGATAATAACAAAACTTTAGAAAGATTGTGACAATATGATAACGCAGTCCTCTGAGAAATGTTTAAATAAAGTGTGAGCAAATTTGAGAGTGGGGCCTTTTATTACAGATTTTTAAATTGACCAGGTGTCTTGCGTTTTTGATGTTTGAGCAATGAAATTCATTACTTCGAAAATTACTAAACAAATGCCAATGCAGGGGATAATTATTCACATAAGGGGCTGTTAAGTTTGGCCTGGAAATTCATCTGGGCAGACGCCATGGCGCGTAAGCCGGTCCACTGGAGAGGCTCTTAATCCCTTCGGCGCCCAGTCTGACAGACGCTGTCGAATATTTGAGCAATTATCCAGACCAAGCAGCAAGCAAAGGCGAGTTCCCGTCCTTCAAAAGCGGACCCTTTTGTCGTCCCTTCAAGCAGCAGCGTGCCTGATGACCTCGGTGATTCATCTGGCGACGGTAAGCTGTTGTGACTGGAGCCAGAGCTGACAGAGGAGCGGCGCTCCTTTTTAATCCCCAATCACAAAGCCGACCGGCCGACTGCCTATGCTCGTCAGGCATTGTACGTGCTAGCCGGAGGACGAGACGTCGTGTCGCCGCGACGCCACGACGAAAGAGGGCAACAGGGACGGCGTCTTCCTGAAAGCGACCATGACGGCCACCGCAGATCGCCCCGCTGATTGGGCGAGCTGTGCGGTGGACCCTTTGAAGTATGCGGCCAGGATCGTGGGAACTCTCGACTAACGGCACACCCACGACGAGGAAGAGCCCTGCTGGCGCCACCACAGTGCAGTGTTCACGTGGACCGTGCATGCTCGCCCCCCTCACCTGTGTGTGCGTGATTGGTGTTCGACTCGGAGAGGAGGAGCCCGACAGTGCTTAAAACGACACCGCAGAGTGCTGGACGTCGCTCTGAACTATGTAACGTTCAACCACCACGCTCGTGGTTTGTGAAACCACTAACTTTTCCTTTCTGTAAATATGTGTAAATAGTCCCATAAACCCTGCTTTGTTTCCGTATCCTCCAGCGTCCTTCCTTCCAAACCTTAACAATCGATGGCAGCCGTGGGATGCCATCAGCGACCTACTTCCTTTCTTCAACATCTTACAACTGCTTGGCAGCGGTGAGATGAACTTCACGACATGGTGCTGTGCTGTGGTGAGTGCTTGGTCTTCGCTATAACTTTCCAGGCTTCATTTCTTGAGTGTGAGTTGATTAGAAGCTGGATTGTGTGTGAGTTAGGGAGATCACCTATTTGTGTGTTAGGTGTGTTAGAGGGATCCCCTACATTTGTGTGAGATGCAGGACCAAAGTACAACGGCAATCATGGAGGTGAAGACACTGCTAAAAGATGGTCTTTTGTACATTTGTGAAGACCTTGGTATTAAGATTAAGGAAGGAATGGGCAGGTCAGAAATTTTAGAGCTAATTTTGGAAAGCGCCAGTGAGGTGGATATTGGATATGCGTTAAAAGCTTTAAAAAGGTTGGAGGAACGAAAGCAGAAAAAAGAAAGAGAAGGAAAGGAATTACGGGATAGAAAAGAAAGGCAAGAAAAGGAAAGGAGGGATAGAAACGAAAGAGAGGAACGCGAAAGAGAGGCATGGGAAAGGGATATAAAAGAGCGTGATCGAGCACGCGCCTAGGTGCTCGAACAATTGGAACAGAAAATCGAGGCAATGAGGCGGAAAATTTAGCCGTCTGCAACTGTAGCGCCAGAGAAGTGCGATAATCAAGTGAGTGAGGTTCAGTCCGGAGCTATAGAGAAGGCTAGCACGTGTGAAGAGCGCAGCAGGTTCGAAGATGAACCAATTGCGATAGCTGCAAAAGATGCTACTCCAATGAGAGAGGCCGACAAAGGCCAGAGCGTGTGCGACGAGGTGCTGTGCCAGTTAAATGTTAGCGAAACAGCTAGGATAGCTGTAGAAAAGCTGGTACAGACCTCAACTGTGTTTGTCGCAACGGTGGGGCTTGCAAATGAGGTAGTAGGCAAGGAAACCGGAGAAAGCTCAGGAGCAGCAGCGAAAGCAGAGAGTGAGAAGAACAGTGCGGTTGTAGGCAGCTCCCAGCAATGCGAGCTAGAGTGTTTGAGGGAAGGCAGCTGCACTGTTCCTAAGAGCGTCAAGCTGTCCGCCAGTCTAGAGTGTGAAATGGGCGATTTTTTTGAAAATCATTTAGACTGCGCGACGGAGACATCTGACAAAAGCTGTGAGAGGGTTCACGAGTGTGAGTTGCTATCGGAAAGCTTAGAAACGAACCGCAAAAAGCGGCGCAGACGAAAGCGACGTCGGAGAGCTGCGAGCCAGACAAAAGACACTAAGGGTGTAAAGAAAGGCTCGACACGTTTGAGCGTAGTGAACAGAACTAGGGGTTCTGCATCGGCATCAAACTCGGTTTGCATGCGTCCGAGCAACCGGACAAAAAGTAGGAGGAAAACGGGTTTGCGAATGCAATTGCGTGGAGAGTGCCGGTCTTTCCGTTCTATCCACAGAACGTTTCGAGGCGCACGTGAGTACAGCGTTAGCACAGGTGAATCGGCCAGTTCGACGAAAAGGCCTTTGTGGCGTGAAGTAAGGCAGCAGTGGCGAAAGGGTAGGCCACAGCGCGCGTCCGCGCGACAGAATGCACGCCGGAGATTTAAAGCTTTGCGTGGACGGGAGTGATTTGTAGGGTTTAACGTCCCAAAACCACCATATGATTATGAGAGACGCCGTAGTGGAGGGCTCCGGAAATTTTGACCACCTGGGGTTCTTTAACGTGCACCCAAATCTGAGCACACGGGCCTACGACATTTCCGCCTCCATCGGAAATGCAGCCGCCGCAGCCGGGATGCGTGGACGGGAGTGTCAAAGGGAGCCGAGGAAAAAGGCCACAATAGATAAACACCACACGGGAGCTAGCCCAAAGAGGGCATGGCCACTCTGTCCCACGCATTGCTCTGGTCCCCTTCGCCAAATTGACGAAAGTCGGCCGAAAACGCAAATGAGGCGTAACGCTGCTGTTCAGCTGGAAGCACGTGCTCGTTGTGGACCCGGGCGTCCCCGAAATTCACCAAGACCTCGACCCCCGCGTGTGCGATTGAAGTGAGGAACAGCTGTAAGCTGGAGAGTTGAACAGAGGAGTTTTATTAGAAGCGTGCATGTTTGTTTAATTTTGATTTTACAGTAGTATGCCTGCGTCATCTCCACGGTTAGTTTGTTTAGCTACAGATTTCACTTCTCGTATTTGTAAGCATTGTAAGTGTTTTAGTTGAGTTACAGGGAAATGGCCTATGGTTAGGTGTGCGATTGGTGTGCTAACGCTCTTTGGATGAGAGTATGATGTCGTGCTAGGGCGCACAGCAATGTGCGTTCTTTAAAAACATGGGCTGACATGAAACTACATCCAGCAAATGAGCGTGTTAGTACACGAGTTGCATTTCCCTTTGTTATTTTAGTATGTGCTCAGGGATCAGGTGAATTCTTTCGCTGAGCGTTATGTTATATCGAACGTTGAGATTAGAAATGCGTTTTAAGGATTTACACAGTTCGA